TTATTATTATTATTATTGTTATTACTTATTTGGGAATTGAAACGTTCACCTAAGTGAAGGTTCTAATTCATTTGGCGCTTTGTCATTTCGTTCGAAAGACCTGGGTTCATTTTCAGTGCGTGGAAAATTAATTCTATTGCTTCCGCCTCTCTCCTCTAGTGGGTTGGTCCTGGCAGAAAAGGACGTATCAGACACATATCATTCCTAAACAAAGAAAATTGTGTTTGTGCAAGAGTAGAGCATTTACATCAATTTTTGTCCCTGAATGTACGTGTGTGTGTTTGTTTGTTTACGTTTGAGTGTGTTTGTCTGTGCGTATATGTGTGAGAAAGAAAGAGAGAGAGAGAGAGAGAGAGAGAGAGAGAGAGAGAGAGAGAGAGGGGGGGGGAGAGTGTCAGGGTAGGGGTAAAGGTGGAGAAGAGAGATGTGACTAAATTTCTCTCTAATGTTATTCGTTCTTTGCCCACCAACCACCAAGACGGAAACCCCTACAATGATGCTTATTCCGACGATACACCGACAAGCGACATTCACAGCCCCATCCTGGTCACGAAAACCATGGCGGAAATCATCACACCTGAGGCTCCGACAGACCCAAGTCCTTACAACAATGTGTTAGCCTCTGCACCAAGGTCAAGGACAGGACAGGACGGTCAAAGTCGAATCACCAACCCTACTGGACAGTATGACGTGTTTCCGGGTCCGGATAGTGTAGCTTTTGTTTCTGGTAAAATTGCTTACTGTGTGAACGTTCTTGGCCTTTAGTGAACCCCACAGTCATCATCATCACCATCATCATCATCATCATCAGCAGCAGCAGCAGCAGCATTCTCATCATTATCGTCGACATCGTCATCATTATCATCTTCATCATCGTCATCCTCATCCTCCTCATCATCACCAGCAGCAGGAGCAGCAGCAGTAGTAGCAGCAACAGTAGCATCTTTTCTCATCCCATACCGTAGTATAGGCCACCAACAAAAGCTTTCTTTCTTCTTCTGTTCTAGGATATTATCCACCACTGTCCAGAGCTATTTCATTTCTTTGTTAAGGTCTAAATCAAGTTCCTCTTCCAAGCTCTTTTATGCCTTTCTGTCATTCTATTTCCTTGAAGATTCGTTCTTAAGGAACACCACAGTGCCTTAGTAACCTTCTAAATTCAAACACAGTTGACAAAATTGATGTTGAGGTCAATGTTGTAGTTGAAACTTTCCGATTTAAACGAAACTCAAATTTTATTCTAACTTAGAAAGGGGGGACAGGAGTGGACTTAATTTGTAAAAAGGGATGCGGCGGTAGGGTGGCGAGAATTAAGCAGTAGAGAATTTTCGACGTAGATCTATATATAATTATACAAGCCCAGAATTGAAATCAGGCGCTCATCAAAATATTCAAATCGTAGAAATCTGCTTTTATGGCTGTTGAGCAATTTTTTGTATCTAATTTTCTTCTCTCTGTTTTGGCTCAGCACCTTGTATAATCTAATTAATTACACATTTCTGGGTGTATTTTACTGAGAGACATTGATCAAAGGCTCAAGAAATACACTTACTACACATTTGTAGTTTCTAAAGACAGTCAAGCTTTGTAAGTCTCCATACATCGGCGGCCACTTTTTCCCTAATTTTACCTCTGACAACAGGTGACACCAAGTGGGATGGAAGAGGTGAACCAAGAGTTGGGCGGCGGTTTGAAAGAAATAGGCTTGGGATTGCGATCGTTTTAACTACTTTCTTCTCCATGTACATGTCGTATGCTAAAATAACATACACTTTGAGGCATCGTGGGGAAATCAGGCGCTCAACAAAATAACGAAATCGAAGCCACCCATATTTTTCCACCCATTTGGCTAGATTTATCGATTTTATTTCTCCCCAACACCTTTATGTCCATTAAAAAACTGTGGATTTTACTTGGCTAAAAAACAAACCAAACAAAAAACAAAACGTTGATATGTAAATGTGTGGTTTCCTGGGACATTCAAGCTTGGAAGTCACCAAACTTTGGTGTCCATTTTCTGGCTTATTTTACCTCTAGCACCAGACAACTCCGAACTCCTATAACCCCAAATATCTCGTCTTCTATTCGGGAGGTGGGATTTTATTTTCACAGCAAGCGAGAAGCATGAATAATAATAATAATAATAATAATAATAATAATAATAATAATAATAATAATAATAATAATAATAATAATAATAATAATAGTAATAATAATAATAATGATTTTAATAATAATAATAAATAGCATTTGTATAGCGCATATCCCCGCTCAACAGCAGGCCCGATGCGCTTTACACTATATTATTACCCAAGCAGACCATAGAACACTCCGAAACATTCTCAGCTTCTCGGGAAGCATCAACAGGCTTGTAGGATACCAATAACTCCATATACCCCCAAACTGACGAGTGCCTGATTTCACCGTGTTCTGGCACAAATAATGTATTCATGAAGGTGAGAGCAGATTATGAGAGGAGAGTCTCAACACAGGTTGTATATCAGTGAAAGACCAGAAGCGAAGGATCCTGGTTTGCATCCCAAACCTGATGTCCTTGAACTGTGGCTCCGTAGAGGGCGTTATATGGCTCTTTTTCTAACTGTTCCGGTCCCATCGGTGATGGACGTTTAATCGGATGTCTACCAACTTGATTAAATAACCTTGCAGTGTTGAGAGGATGGTTAGGCCGACACCATTCTAGTTCTGTCTTAAGTCTACCTACAGAAGGGACATGGTTAGGTCGGTATTTATAATAGCATACAGTAAAACGCTACGGGAGGGTTACTGCTTTGACTAGGGTAGTGTGGTGGTCACAGTGGAAAGGTGCCTGATACCACAGCCCTCCCCATGACTATAGTTCAGGTTTGACTTCAGATGATCCTGTTCAATTGCTTTCGGCAGTTTGAAAATGTGAGAGTATGGATTTGTAAAGTAAGATACAAAGTGTCTTTGAAAGCTTTCGTACGCGATAGTTGTTGTAATACACCAGCCAGTGCACATCCATTCATTAAACGCCGCAGCACTGGTATGTGATGTACGTGTAATGTGGGCATAGGCAGCAAACAAATGTGTTGTTTTTGTATCAAGCATCAAAGCAGTAATCTAGTACTAAAGGAAAGAGCCTACACTACAAGATGGTCCGCTCAGACCAAAAATAAAAGCGTCCGCGGCCGTACGCCTTTGCGCTATACAAATGCTATCTATTATTATTATTATTATTACGCCCGTGTTCTCAGATGGTTTTCGCTGTTTTGAAGTTCTCTTTCGTTTCTTCAGAAGCAGAATGGGAACAAAACCCCCTTGCACTCGTAGATCGACTTTTCACAAAGTACACACTTATTCTCAGGGACGCCACCTTGATTTTGAAGATCTTTGACTGCAGTGCAGGATCTTTGTTCAAGCTAAAGTAATGGCTCCATACCAAGTAATGGTTTCCAGTAAATACATTCCTAGTATAGATTACAAAACCTTAGGTGATCGAGATTACCCGGGGTCGGCTTATTTCTAACACCAGGATGAAAGAGGCAGAGAGAGAGAGAGTGAGCGAGAGAGAGAGAGAGAGAGAGAGAGAGAGAGCGAAAGAGA